TTTTTGGAAATGTTGCTTATTACACCTTGGATTTTCCTAATTTTTGCTTACCACACTTTGGTAAATTTCTTATTAACGATCACCCAGGCAGCTCTTGAAGATATGGCCCACATATACCGAACGGGCGGTGGATAATAATTGAAGGCATGCAGTCCAGTACCGAAGCGTCTGGCACAGCTGCACCTGGATGTGGAGGCATCCCGGTAGCACCATTAATATCAAAGTGCCTGCTATTAACATGAGCTATCACACTGACTGCCTGGGTTATTTTCGTGTTTTTTGTTGTATTTCTTGGAAATAATTTTTGATTGCCAAAGTATCTGCTATCGAATAATAATTTGTTTAGCTGTAATTCATAGCCTAGCGCTCTAACTATAAAACTAACAGTCTTTCCAATTGCTCCAACCCATACTGCATTGACTGATGGTCAGCCTTCCGGTTATCCTGACATTTCTTTTCTCACCATTTCGAAATGTCCGTGACTACTTTGTCTGCATCATTGCCACTACTTGACTGCCTTACTGGCGAACAACAATAATTTACTTCTCCTGGTGTGTTACTTTAAGCCTTTTTTTCCTTTAAGATGGGGTTGTTTGGATCATAATTCTATTTGAACAGAATGGAGGCATTTGCTCCTTTATTAATTACTTTTCTGGAAATTTTATGTCAAACTCACTTTTTTTCTTCTTTCTTTTAATCTTAGATTTCATTTTTCCGTCGGACTTAGATGCGGCTTTTTCTTCTTTGCTCAGCACTTCAACTACCTTAGCTTCAAGCAGTTTTTTGAGCTGTTCAATTTCTGCTGTGTTATCTTGTGTTGCAGCACCTTCACCGTCATCCTTCGTTTTGCCCTTATTGTTTTCTTTTATATTCTTCGATTCTCCTTCTTGTCTAAATGAAACACTTTCCAGATACTGCTCCGGTTTCGTAATTTCTTCAGCTTCACCAGGAATCCGCTTCCGCTCTGGGATTTCTTCTTCCCGTGTATTCGCTTTCCTTTCTTCACTTAATTTTATTTTTTCCACATCAAAATCTGTATTTTCTTCAATTTTTTCCGAATTCTTTGTTTTTTTCGGCTTTTCCTTATCCTTCGCTGCAGTGGCATTCAGTTCTAATGCTTTGTTTTTGATATCGTTGTCTTTCACAACTATTTTAGTCAACTTCGTCTCATTTCCAAGTTCTTTAAATTTTTTGCTACCAGTGAGGGTGTTTTTCATCCTATCGGGCTGTAAAATTTTGTTTAAATCAAATATCTGAACATCCTTTCCGGGTTCTGAAAAATCAACCGGCAGATCCTGTCCGGACAATTCATTTTCCGTAGCGTTTTCATTTTTTTCATCTTCCTTTTCCTCCGATGAAGTGTTCTTTTCTCTAGTATCTGATTCTTCATTTAGCTGAGCTCCAGTCACGCTATTTTCAGCTTTTTCTTGACCTGTTCTCGTTGTGATTTCGCTTTTTTTTCTTTTTTCGTCCGGAACAAATATTTTCTTTTCACTTTCCTTTGTTCTCGCTCTACTAGCCAAATTAGTGCAAGTACAGTAACCACCGGTCTCACCTGAAAAAAAATAAAACTTGATGGCGCAAATGAGCCTTTTGGATAACCACGTTAAAGTTAGGAACATCTTCGGGGCTGGTTCCTATTCCAAGTCATTTTTGGATCAATAATGATGTCCTTCGGGATAAATTTGGCTCTCTATTTTATGCACGTCAAAAACTCTTGGTACTTCTAAAATGTAGTACAGGACGCGCGTGTCCACCTTGTTTGCATGCATAGTAAGAACATTTGATCGTATAATACAGTGATATGCCTTTGTTATAAAATTCGACGATTATTATAATGATAATAATAACCAGCGAAGCAATGATAATCAGTATTGTTAATAAAAGGTGGTAATTTTGATGACAAATGGTAACGTACTTTATGTTAAATTGACTTTATTATGCATTTTTTGCAGCAATGCAATGCGAAAAACGCATATTGACGAGAGGTTGTCTGTGTGTGTG